TAAATGTTTATTATTTATAAGGTTGGGTACATTATATATCATGTTTGGTACACTGAAGTATGAGCTACACACACACAGTGCCAAAAAAAATGTATGTGCATTTTAAGAAAGGACAAAAACTGTATTAAAATTATAATAATGTATGGTGATACAAAAAATAAATATAAGCTACATTGAACACCTCTTTTTTTTTCTTTTTTAGACAGAATCTTACTTTGTCACCCACAGTAGAGTGCCATGATGTCACAGCTCACAGCAACCTCTAACTCCTGGGCTTAGGTGATTCTGTTGCCTCAGCCTCCCAAGTAGCTGGGACTACAGGTGCCTGCCACAATGCCTGACTATTTTTTGTTACAGTTTGGCAGGGCCGGGTTCAAACCTGCCACCCTTGGTATATGGGGCTGGTGCCCAACCCACTGAGCCACAGGTGCTGCCCTTAATGCCGTTTTTTTTCCTTTCTTAAAGTGTGCATACATTTTTTTGGCCCCCTCTGTATGTGTGCACGTGTGAAGTTTGATATATCTGTGTATGTGTGTTTCTGCTCTCATGGCATTTACATTCCAGTGGGAAGGTTTAAGACAACACATACTGATCATTCAAGTTACTATTGCTAAGTGCCACAAGGGGTTTACTTGCTAAGGTACCTATGGGGTTTCAAGACCCCGGTCATCTCTCATATGGAAGAGACTGGCTTCTGCAATATAATTTATCCACTGCAAAATCAAACTTTTACCCGTAACTCTGACTTACTTTTCTAAATATACAGATTCTTCTTAGAGAAATTTTAAAGAATAACATCACGTAACAAAAGCAACCTGTTGCCATCCTCCTCCTGCCCTCTAGGGGAGAGATGTTCAACTTCAGCATGACTCAGGGCTTGTTCCAACCCAGATTGCGGGGGTCAGGTCCATTACCAGAGCTTCTGATTTGGGAGGTCAGAAGGGGGACAGAATTTGCATGCTGCTGGCCCAGGGATCACACTGCTCTGAGTTAACCTTGTGTTTCCCCTGTTGCTTGCCCTCCATATCCATGTTGACACCAAGGCTTATCCTTCCTATATTCCCTGTCTTTCCCTTTCATTGCATTCCTTTATTTGACTTCTGTATTTTCTCTTGATGGAAGGAGGTAGAGATGAGCCCTGCTTTGTGAATGGCTTGTGTTATCTGTGTTTTTTCTCTAATTCTCTTGCTTTCAAACATGTCCTTAATTCTTGGTTTCCTTTCTTATCTTTTATGAAGCTGCAGTAGGTGAATGTGAGAAACCCCTAAAGGTAAGGAAGTCCTACTGTGGTTTGTTTGGCAGTGGATAGAGAGTGGTTAGGTGAAGGATTTTCTTTTATGAAACTTACTATGAAATAAAAAAAAAGTTCTCATTATGAAGGACATTCAAAAGAAACCCAAGGAGTATCACATGGTTTCAGCATTTGAATTCCATAGACGGATAAACATTGAAAGTGTATTATTTAGAGATGAGAGACAAAGCAAATAAAATAATGATGATGAATTTTTTAAAAATTAAGTAATATTTCATCTTTTATGAAAATCTCTTATATGCATCATGCCTTTGTAGCTACTCAAAAGGCAGGGAAATTATTATTTGTATTTTAAAGTAAAAAAAAAAAAAACTAGAGTTATGAAATCAAGTGATTTGTTTAAGGCCACACAACCATTTAAAGGAAACAAAATGGACCAAAGGCATCTAGTTCTAGTATGATATTTTACTTAGGCCTCTACTCTAAATGTCAGTGTTATAATCACTATAAAACAAGCTTTACATTACAACTAGGGCCTCCTTGGGTCTCTGAGGTAGAACTTAGCTCTAAAGTCAGTATGATCGACTATGTGTTTGTCTCAACCACTTTATCTTATGAATGTATGGATCATTAACATAGACCTATATGGAATTTTAATTGGAATCAGACCACAGAGTAGAGTCTCTGGCTGTTGAATGCAAGTACCATCTGCATTAAACCTTGGTATTACTGAAATGCAAAGCCACTTCCCGCCCCAGTCTACTGGTTTGTAGAGTAGCCATGATAGAAAGAGCCAACGTATCTTTCCTTTTAGTTGTGTGAAGATATTCTTTCTTTGTAGGACTCTTTTTGGTTAGACTATAGGTACCTATTACATTAAGTCCACTCCTATTCGTCCAAGTATCCCAAGTACTTTTTAGAATATTTTAATGTCAATATTTTGACTTTTTGCTCTGGATTTAGATCACCTCCACTGAGATTCTGTTACGTTGTAAAACCCTACATTTGGAAATGTGAGCCATGGTGAATTCAGGTCTGGAATTACTTCCACATGTTCAAGCTGTCTTGTGTTTTGAAAATCTAGACTAATAGTTCTTAAATTTTGTTAGATTAGGGACTCGTTCACTTAGACAAAAGTCATGAAAGACAGATAGCGTTACCAAATTGACACTGCACAGTAATTTTGGAGTGAAAGGGAAGAGCACTGTTTTTTTAAAATAAGGTGCTCAATTTATGTATGTGCCTTATACACATCAAATAAAAACCTTTATAATTTACCAAGGATCTTCATAATGCATTTATTAGAGATCTGAAGATCCATTTGAATATAACTCAGATGTATAAAATGACTTCACCTATAGCTTTTACATCTATCATCTAGATGCACAAATCCACTGCTGATTTTCTTATGGGCAAACCTAGTTATTTGGGTTAACCAAAGAATCCTTTGCTGAATCCACTGAAGAAATGTATTTCCACATCAAAAAGATAATCTTGGTGGTACACTGAAAATTTTATGTTACAAATTTAAAGCCTTATTTCCATATGTGAATAGAATGTGTGAATTTCACATCTCCATATAAACACGGTGATTCACTCCTGAATTTAGGAAGAAAATTGGGTAGTGGTAAATCACTACATTTACTTGAGGTCAATGTGAACCCACTAAAAAACTCAAGATCAATTAAGGGAAAAGTTTCTCGTGGTACTGGTGCTGCCATTATTAGAAGACACCAATACCGCATGGGACAGATGCATACAAGGAAGAAGATACGTTTGTGTATCCAAGACCAGCAGAGTCAACTTTGACAAAGGAGACAGTTTTCCCCTGAACCTTAATTTGATGGCTTGTAAATCAGCTATTTGGAGGAAGAAAGGCCATAAATTATGCAAGAACACTCTGTAAATCATAAGTTGTTACACAAATAAAAACATTACAATTTAATTGATTCTCTCTCCAATTTTCTTCCTGAATTCAGTAGTAAATCAGTGCTTATTTGGAGGTGTGAAACTTGCAATCTTTAAGAACAACTGATTCCCATAAAGGTGTATACATTAATTTACTTAATGTCCTGACTTAAATTAAATTGCAAAAAAGGCAAATTTCTTCTTAAGAACTGTTCTATTTCAGTGTTCACTTCCATATTCGGTACTTTCTCTCTGACTGATGCTTTCCTTCCCCACTCGTCTCCAACTACTTACCTGTTTCCTGTCTCTTAGATTTCTTCTAGCAGATCTGAACAACAAGGTTTATTTTGAGAAACTAATTCATTCTCATGTATCAGAATTCAAGTATGTGAATTTCTCTGGCAAATTATGTGTCATTTAATAGGGGTATTCTGGAATCAGAGGTTTACCAGAAGAGTGATTCGTGTAAGAATTTCAAATATGACAATCATCATCACTGTGGAAGATATTCTTAGATACAGGAAAATCTATGTGAAATCACAATCATCCAGGCAGTCACTTAGTGAGGAACCACTTCTATGGGAACTTGGTATGTCTGTCCCATTATGGATCTAGGAAAGAGCACTGGCTGAAAGGTCAGGCAATTTTAGCTCTGGAGTTGCAGAATCCAGGTCTAAAGCACCATCTTCCCTATCTTGATGACTGCATCCCCTCAGCAGTATCCCTACAAAATGATCATCCATTCTCCCCTTGAATATCTCTAACTCCAGGAATTCACTCCCTCTGGAGGCAGTCTAGCCCATTAGAGCAGCTCTGATTGTTCTCAGACTTGTTCTTTCATTTAATGGGAAGAATCTCCTGATAGCATTCAGCTATTGTTCTAGTTCTACCCTATGGAGCCAAACAAAACAAACTGAATCTCTCCTCCTCCCAAACATCTTAACAATGCTAATGATAGGTGCCATTCATAGGGTACTTATTATGTGCTAAGATCTACTTTACAAAGTTCACATGTATTAGTTAATTTAATTCTTAAAACAGCACTACAAGGAGAGTGTATTACCATCATTCTCATTTTATAGACAAGGAAACTACATATAGAACACTTAAGTGATTTTTCCAAGGTGACAAGGTTTGGTAGTGGTTAGGCCTGAATTCAAACCAGGCAATATGGCTCTAGGACTAAAGCTCTTCAGGGCTACATTAAGGTGCCTCTGAAACTCAGATGCTTGGACATGGATTATGTGATGCCTGGAATCTTCCTTCCTACAGGCTGGACTTCTCTAGGACATCCTTTCTCCACACAGGGTTCCTGTGGTTTTTTTCTTTCAGTGGCAGGGCACTGCTTTCCCATGATGGGGACTCAGCTGGGGCTTCTAGATGAGGCAGTGGGATCTCTTTTAAATCTGAAAAATGACTCCAAACCTTCCCTTCTGCCTACCTACCTTCCCTTCTCACAGCCCCTCAGCTCCCTGCCGCCAGGCCTCCAGGGGGCCTGCACTCACCTGTGTGTACGAACATGTGCTTGACGTAGTTCTGTTTGGCGGTGAAAGTCTTGTTGCAGAGAGTGCACTCATAAGGCTTTTTTTCGCCTTGCCCACTGGCTGTGCTGTGGCCTGCGGATGAGGCCAGGGGCTGTGGCGCTGGCAGCTGTGCAGTAAAGGTGGACAGGCCGGGTTGGGACACTGTCACAAACTGGGTCTGCTGGCCTGCCAGAGGCTGAGGCAGGCTGAAGAGGAAAGGCTTGGGACCACTGCCCGCGGGCTGGGTAGTGAAGAGGGCCGGCAGGTAGGTGTTGCCAGCTGTGCCAATGACCTGTGTGTTGCTGGTCAAGGTCAGAGGCATCCTCAGGTTGCTGGTGAGGGTTTCTGTCTGGCGTAGGTAGAGCTGGGTACTTGGCAGTGGCTGCCCAATGGACGTGTTGACCGAAGGCTGCTGCAGGACGCTCTTGTCGGAGCTGTTGCTGACAGTGATGACCGTGTTGTCCATCTCCACCTCGTTGCTTCTCTCTGGAGAGGAGGCACCTGTTTCAAGCTGATTCGGCTGCGGGGCACCCTCGGCAGGTGCTTCCGCAGCCTGCTCAGGTTGGGCGGGTTCAGCCTGGCTATCCCGAGCTGCCGTGGCGCCAAACTGCTGCTCCACGGAGTCGGGCTCGGTGCCTATGGAGGAGCTGACGCCCGAGTCGAAGCTCTCACCTTTGGGCTCACTCTCCGTGCCCTCGGCCTGGTCGGTGTCTTCCGTGCACTCCTCGGATTCGTTGCGCTCCAGAATCTGCACCCGTTGCTGCCCGTAGTAGTCGTAGTCATCCTCCACTTCCTGCTTGATGTGGATGTTGCCCACTAGGGTCTGGATGCGCACGGGCCGGGGCTGCTTGCGGCAGTGCGTGGTCTCGGGGGTAGTGGACAGGTAGCGCTCCATCTGCTGCGAGCGCTCGTGGATGCGTGTGATCCAGCTGGGGTCCTCCATGTGGTGGTCGCGGGGCAGGCCCAGCGCGGTCTCGTGGTGGCTGACCACCGCACCGCTGTAAAAGGAGCGCTCGCCGCTGCCGTTCTGCATGGAGCACGCATAGAGCGCAGAGTAGATCCTGTCCACGCTGTGCTGTGGGTGGCTCTGCAGGTAGCCTGACTCCGTGTCGCTGCTCTGCCCTGATGTCCCCGACTCGGGAGTCCCCCGCGGCGTGTCCTGGCCTGAGTCCTGGATCCCCGGGAACACGTCGCCCACATTCTGCGACACGATTCGCGTGCACTCATCGATAACCGTTTTAATCTGCAGGATGCTGGCGGCTGTGAGGATCTGCAGAGCTTCGGACTGCGAGACGCGCAGCACGCCGCTGTACATGAAGTCAATGAGCTTTTGCACGGACTGCACCGACACCACTGACGGGATCTCGATGTCGCTGTAGCCAAGCAGCAGCTTGTCCTGGAAGAAGGGGCTGCCGGCGGCCAGCACGCAGCGGTGTGCGCGCAGCATGCTCCCGTGGATGCGCACCGTCACGTCACAGAAGTGGCCACGGTTGCGCTGCTCGTTGAGGGTTTCGAGCACGGAATTGCTGAAGTTGTGAAGGTTGATGCTGTGAATGCGCTCGGTCATCCCCTTGCAACTGATGTCACCTGCAGCACGTTAAGGCAGACACAAAATAGAGCATGGGTCAGATGCAGCTGGCTACATCTCTAACACCTGGGCCTCACTCAGGTAGGAAATTCTCATGGTTCCTAGAAGCACCTTCCTTGCAGACACAATCAGAGAGAGGGAGGGACTGCTGGATACAGGCCGTGATGATGGCCTTGGGGAATAAGGCCCTGAATTCTGCCCCAATTCCAGCCTTAGTGCCCTAGCTATTTTGGGTACTGAATCCATATTAATTTCCCAGAGCTTCGGCTGAGGTTGTCAATTTAAGTAGAATGGCCCAATAACCAGAGGGTCAATTTGCCTGCTGTTCCCCCAGTTTCAACAAAGAATAAAGGGCAAATGGAAGACTTGTTCTCCTGAAACATCTACCCCCACTTCAGACAGGTCTAACAGAACTGTCATGTAGGAGAATTCTTTCTGGTTTGGACCTCTGGTTCCTTTACGTTTACATTTCTCCCAATTTATTGAATTTCCTTATTTTATTCATAGACAGTGACAATATTCAGTTAACAAATTCCCTTCCTATTAATTTATATGGCATATCACCGAAACTCATCCCAAGTATGCAAAAATTCTTGGAAAATTCACCCCACACTCAGGTCTACCAAAGAGCAGCCACCATGTTTTCCAGATGTTTCCTGTACCTATTCATTTTTCTCATCATCTCTGACAACTTGTTTGAACACTTTCTAGGGTGGTTGTAAATGTGATATCGGTGGTTTTCTGAGGCTTAATGAAGAAGGAATGTTAAAAAGGTCAGAAATGGCCGTTCTGACCTGGAAGACCAGAGCACACAGACAGGAGATCATATCTAGCCTCAAAATGAGTACTTTAGAATGAAAGGGAGCAATTTCAATAATTAGGCCAGGGCAGTGGGAGTAACCAGGAGTGGCATATCTGGTCACCTTCGGTAACAGGGTGCTCTGTGCACTTGCTGGAAGAAGTATTAAACAGCTCCCAGGAGGAAAGCAATAATAGCTATGTGGAGAACATGAAGAGCCCGGCCCACTGCTATCCCTACACCTCAGGCTATCCAGACAAGGGATCATGTTGGTGACATTTGGATTTAGACTGAGAAAGACAATACATGGCCATAGCACCGGGTCTTGGGGCTTTCCTACATAAAAATGTAGGCAGGTAGCTCAAATGTAGCTCACCTGTCAGATGACTCTGGAGAATTCCTCTCCAGGTTATTCTTAATCAAATTCCCTATTCTTGCCTTCACAACTGACCAATCAGCTCAGGAAGGGCCAAGTCAGTGGGCTTTCAAAACCAAGTGGCCCCAGGATTAATTGTTGGCCTGTGACCCAAATCCTTGCTTATGAGAAACAACCCCAAGGGTAATGGCCTGCAGATAAGAAGGCCTGCCTTCTCAGGTTCTTTCTACACTGCAATGGGACAGAGAGCTCGTGCAGGAAAGTCTGGGCTCAACTAGTTTTTCTACTGTGCTTCACTTCATCATCCCTAAACTGTCTGAGCTTAACTTAATAAATGCCTTCAAGCTCTATGCTCAGTGGTGATACAATTTGCACTAATTTATGTTAGAAAGTTCTTTCTTGTGCTGACCTCCACTAGGTCTGATGTACCTAAAGCATTGTAGTAGGCTGTTGTGTCTACCTTTTTTCTTATGTAAAACAAATTATCTTTGCCAGATTTAGTAATCATCATGAAACCCCTCTAACTGTGCTAATGTGCAATATAGCCCCAGAAGAAGGCACCAATAAAGCAGGAAGGGATTGTTCAGGAATTCAGCAGACCAAATTCCAAATTCAGGTTGGTTTCCCAATGCATGTATATCATGATCATAATAACAAAAGCAAACTTTTTTTTTTTTTTTTTTTTGGTGCTTGCTGTTCTAACTACTTTATGTATATGATTTTATCAAATCTTCACAGCAATTGTAGGGAGTGGGTAGTATTATTGTTCTTGTTTTACAGATGAGAAAACAGGCCAGAGAAATTAAGAAACTTTTCTAAGACCAGGTAGGCAATTGGTGGTACAGTTGGACTCTGAACCCAGGCGGTCTGGCTCTAGGGTTCACCCTCTTACCTACTTCACTGCATCTCATGCTTTGGCCCTGAATGAGGTCTGGCCCTTAGGCCTTCCTGTGTCTGCTGTGAAACTATGTGTGTAAAGGTCTTCCCAGTATTCCCTCCAGCTACTCTTAAACCAACCTGTGATTCAGCATGTCTTTCACCTTTCTAGGTTTTGAGTCTTCAAAATAGCCTCAGTGATCTAACTTAACATATTGTTTTAGATGGAACAATGTAAGAAATAAGACCACTTATCTTGGAACTAAGATGTAGAATTTTCTATATATAGTTTTACTATCACTGAGGTCTCTTTTGTTTAAATAAAATTGGTTATGTCTGTGATAAAATAACCCTCTCTGTGTAGGATGGATTTATTAAAACATTTTTTCTGCATCAGTGAAAAACACTCTTTAAACATACATTTGCTCATAGCACCAGTCACAACTATAAAACTAAAGATGTCATGTATGACAGAGTTGTCTTCTTTCAGATAATTTTGGGAAGCAGCATTATCAGTATCATAACAATTAATATCCATGTAGTGCTTTACAGTGTCTAAAACTCTTTCACATGCAAAAATCTCATATATTCCTTATGATAATCCCATATGTTTTCAAGATTTGATATAAGAGAAATGCAAGGCTCTCATAGTGTCTAAATGCCTTGCCCTGAGCTGCACACAGCTAACAAGTGTCAGGGCTGGGATTAGAACCTGTGCCTTCTGATAACTCTTTCCACTGCATAGTACTGGATCGCTGAGGAATGAAACTCAAATTTCTAAAGCTCTATGGTCATCCTAATTCTCAGTGGAAAAAACTAAAGACACTGAAAGCGATGATGGAGTTTGCTTTAAAGGTGAGAAATTGTCACACACAGGCCCACATATGCAATTTCACCAGAAAGTCCAGATTGCTTTTTTGACCAAACTGGACTGCAAATTCAGTCTATCTCAACAATCACTTAGCTGGTTATCTCATAGGTTGAATTATGACTAGTATAGAATGTTGTCACCCACTTCTCAGAGACAGATTTAAACCTGCACACATATACGGCCTAATGTGACAAGCATCGTGGGATTTTTATAGGCACAATTCTTAAGCATCCCCCTGAGTACAGTGGCCCCACACTGCAGTGAGCAGTCATCGTTTTTTTCGCTGATATGAGTAGATGTGAGGGGGGACCCTGCCCCTCCATTCAAGTGTGCCTCATTCCTCCAGCACAATGCTGATGCAATTCCTTTCCCAGGCTTTTTTTTTTTTCATTTTTATTTTTAACACTAATACAGTGGGAAAAAGTTTCTGCCACAGCAAGGCAAAGTCCAGGCTTTTGTGAACACGTCCTTTTCATCCAATGGGCATTAATGTATAGATTCCAATGGAATAAATCTGAAATACTCTACTGTAGAAGATTTGTTCCCCATTGAAAACAAATCTTGATTAGATGGTTATTCAGGGACTGTATAGGAAGGAATGGTGTGAAAATGCTAACTCCATTCTTTCTTAGATTGGCACTGAATAGGCATTTGGGCCATTCAAAAAAAAAAAAAAAAAACACCAAACTCCAGCCTTCTTAACTCTATAAAACCACACAACTTTACATAGATTATGTGTATTTGGGGATGCCCTCCCCCACCTGAAAAAAATCCACAGAGATAGAAACATAGAACTGGTGGCAAAATGAAAAAGTGATTAAAAAAATCTTATATGTTTCAAAATAATAACCTACCTCCTTTTCACCGGAGTAAAAATATGGAGTTACTGTGTGACGGCATTCACCAGACACATGCAAGGGATTGTGCAGCTGAAAGGATCATGTATTCTAAGTGACTGCATCCTGTGAGCGAGCACAACACAGATGGAGCCGGAGCAGGTTGAGAGCTGAAGGGAAAATCTGCCTAGGGTGAAACAGGGGACAGAGGGCCTGACTCTGTTTTGTAGGAACCTGGCTCTGGCCTGTCCCTTAAGCTGCAGGGGTCCAGCGATAGGACTTAGCATGAGAATAAAAAGCTGCCAGCACAGAAGAGAAAATGAGCAAGAAAGGAAACAGCAGGCAATGTGATCTCTTTTAATTAGGTGTGAAATCCAGTCCTTTCTCAATCAGGAGAGCAAAGAATATATAAAATGAGACTAGTAGGAGGGTAAGGTGCTATTGGGGGTGGGGGGTGGTTGGAAATTTGAAGTCTCTGTGACTTGGGAGGAAATACCAGCTCTCAAATTAAAACCAGGATGAATTTTGGTCAAGTCAGTAAGTCTAAGTTAATGGCAGGGCCGCAAAGCCCTTGAGCTTTCACTTTGGTGTACCAGGTTCCTAAGAGGGCATAAAACCGAACCAAGGGTAACCAGGTCTCCATAACCTAGCCTCACGCATCATATGCTTTTCCATATTGTATCTTAGTACCTTTAGTGTGCTGAGATAGACCTTTTACATATTAGAAAATTAATGGTGATCTCAAACTATTACATGTTGATGGTGCTTGTCAAGGTGGTTACACCAGGAAAGAGGCAGTTGTCCAGATATAGAAGGATAAATTTTGGTAACTCAGCTCCCTTACTTTCCAAATCCTCTAGCAGGGTAAGACCTCAGTTATACCTACTTCACCTACTTGTATATGCCAAGGGGTCTTGCTGAGACCTAGTGCTATAGGAGATATGGATGTTTCTTGCTTATAGACTCCATCTAGGGCAGGGTGAAGTAGGTATATGCCAAGGGGTCTTGCTGAGACCTAGTGCTATAGGAGATATGGATGTTTCTTGCTTATAGACTCCATCTAGGGCAAATGGCCTTCTGCCTCTTTCACTTTCATTGGCATCTTCACAATATTTAGAGGGCGGCTGTGTGCACTGTGGAAATCATGTACACAAGAAGGCGGCAGCAGGCAGGAAGAGACCTCTTTCTCCTACCTCAGCTCCACACATCTCGCATATACCAGCTGTCATTACTCTGCAGTG